ATTATTGTATAGTTTGCATTCCAAAAATAGTGTTTTGTTATATCGTTTGATTCAGAGTAACTTTCACCAGGGATTGGCAAGCATGTAATTCAATCTAAGATCTGATTTAATAAATGCTATGGTTATTCCTCAGTGTAGCATGTATAATATACACTTTTCTTTCACCGATGGAGTAGAAGAGTGGATTTTGTATCTAATTTGTGTGTAATGTAGTTGATACTAGAAAGCAACACAGATATGGACAGTGTTCCAAGACATACATTTTTATCTCTTCGTATCATTATGTTTTCTTTTAGTCCATACCTTTATGCATTTGGTGACATCTTCGTCTTATATAAAGTCGTTCTGTATGCGTTTTAAGTCATACGGTATATTTGTGCTCGTTGCTCTTTTGCAGCATAGAACATCATTGTTTAAGATTTTTTTCCCTCTAGTATGCAATACAAATTTGCTGGACAAAAGATTGAAGCTTCATATGCTGTTCGTTTTCATTTGATTTAGCAAGACCACACTCGACAATATCTTGATCTCTAGTTTGTTATTTGTATAACTGCTTATGTTTTAATTTTTTTGTCTGTTGTAGGTTTGGCCGTGTAAAATGCATCGAATCGAATTCTTTTTGTTGGTGAAGATGTTTGCATTTGATACGTCGGTAAAGATGCGACCTGTCCTTTAGGATTACAAGCGATTGAAATACTGTTTAGCTATCGTCTATATTTAAGCAGCCAAATTAAGTAATTCATGATAACTGTTTAGTGCTAACTAAACGTCCGAAATAGCTACTGAAAGTCGAAGTACTCATTAATTGTCACTAGATATGATTAAAAAGTTTATAGCGAATAAACATTAAGGAAGAAATATCTTAGACTGATCTTGTAAAGAATGTACTAAGCTTCACAGCAAAACTATTCCTTTACATATTTAAGATTGGGAAGGCAGATCTAACTTATTAGTTTTAAGAATTATTTAAATATAATTTCTTCTGTCGTATTCTTTATTTTATTTTTTTTAATTTTCCGTAGTAATTAATTTAAAAGAAATTATGCTTGACATTTTTGTATCGACAACTGATTATTTAACCTAGCGCAACAAATTGAACATTTAAAACAAAACTTTAAATATAATTGATATGTTTCCTTTGCAATTTATAAATTGAATTAGTTAAAAAGCATTTGCATGGGATCTAGTGTGGTTACAAGCCGCACACACCTATATATATATATATATATATATATATATATATATATATATATATATATAGATCTATATATATATATATATATATATATATATATATCCAGTTCAAACATTATAGGTGTATAATCGTCAATTGCTAAAACATTGTGACATTAAGGGAGTACTTGAAACATGTCAAGTGGCGCTTCATTACCGCAAAAACTAATGGAACTATTTGATCAACAAATATGCGGAAGGAAGTTTACCTGAAAAAACTATTATACCTTGATATCTGCAGTAATATGATTCAGTTAATGCTTTCACGTTTAAAAGAGATCGATTTAATATTAAAAAAAACACTGCATACAGAGACATCAATGCATCAATCATATTACTTTAAGTTTCAAAATGTAAGATGAGTTGTGAGAGCAAACACTAAAGCAACCCTGCTAACTGTATGTACAAATGCATGTTACAGAGTAGATGGAAAAATTAAGACGGACCATTTTACAAAACTAATAAAAAGTGTCATTGCTTTAGACAGGTAAACAGTGTGACAAAGCTACACATTATGAAATAGAATTCATAATACAAATGAAATACAATATGGGTTGTAGACAGGAGTATCTGACTGATAATATATATATATCCAAGCAGCTTCAAAAATTCAATATCGTCTATAGGTTGGAAAATTAGAGTATAAACATAGAGAAAAAAAGAAGGAGTTACGATAAAAGGATTGTATCTTTTGTACAAGAAAGGTCGTTCTCTCAAAATACAAAAATACAGTTAATATCCGTGATCACAACTCTTTAACATGGAGAACGCTGAGATTTTACATACCTTGTGTTACATGGAGAACGCTGTGCATATTTCTGTGTATGTTTGTGTGTGTGTGTGTGTGTTTGTGTGTGTGTGACAGAGATAGAGAGAGAGACAGACAGAGAGACCTACAGAGAGAGGAACAGAGAGTTTTCAATTTTTAACAATTTGCCAGACATATCAGAAATTATTCCCTGATAATTGATACATACTGAAATTGCATTTTAATTCTCTGAAGAAACAGGAATATTGAAAGTTTTAATAGCAACATCTTTTGCTTGATGCAGAGGGGATTTTAAGGAAACGAATATATAAACATTTTTCTTTATATAATAATGCATGGGGAACAACTGGTTGAAGATCATTTTTAAAGAACAACATTGTCCAGAAGTTGCCAAAGTAAAGCTGAAAAGCTTCGTAATAAAAACATAGGGTGGAAATGAATAGTAATATCAGATGGGTTTAACAGACTAAAAGTCCAGAACGAGAATTTTACTTTCCTCCTTTACGCATTAATCGGTTAAAAGGTCACTAGCAAGCTATAATAAATCGTCAGACGTCAATCGGTCAAAGGACTTTATCACATATTTTGTGAATTAGGTGTCCAGTTTATGAGTTGGAAAGCTATATTCCTCTATCTCTTTCTTCATTTACACTTGTATGCTGTAATATTTACGTTTTACTATGGTTCGTGACGTTGTCAGCCAAACATAAATTTTATCCTCGAGACTACTTTGTCGATACGATTAAATTTATATTGACAAAATATATTGTTTTCTATGTAAGACTGCCTTTCAAAATTAAATATATGTATATATGACACAATTATGTTGTTACCCTAAATTGAAAAGTGCTAAAAGGGGCACATAGATGAATGACTTCATGTTTGATGCCAGTTTAATATTCCAATTGGAAAGCTCATGATGGTGGGATTTGGACCTTTTGAGGCCTACTATTTGCAGTAAACATTTTACTGTGGTATTCATCTTGTAAATGGAATATCAAATCTGTTATATGGTGACCACGAGGTTTTAACACAGCTGCAAAACGGGGTTTTAGTCTTCAATGAAAATACCACACGAAGCTTCAGCTAAGTCAATGGTGTAGTGAGCCTCTGTGATAAATTATACATGTAACACAAGGTATGTAAAATCTCAACTCCTTGCAGTCTGATAACAGATTAACCAAAAGTGTATATTCTATCAGCTATTATCTTTGGATCTTTAGTATACGCTCAATAGATGAACAGAAGGACGACGAAAGAGCAACGTTTATCGAAATCTTTTTTGTTGATCCTGAGACTTACACCTAGCAATTTTGTATTTTTGGTTTAAAAATATTATCCTACATACCATTACTATACACAGGCAACGAAACATACGGGCTAAAATCTATGAAACGAGAAGTTTCGTTTCTTTCATCCCGCCATGTCTCTAGACTTATGAATGATGGTATAAGTTAAGTCAAATCTACCAATGGATGAGAGAGAGAGAGAGAGAGAGAGAGAGAGAGAGAGAGAGAGAGAGAGAGAGAGAGAGGAGATTAAAAGTCAAACCAACCAGATAGTTTTATAATAAAACCGACAGTCTCTCTCTCTCTCTCTCTCTCTCTCTCTCTCTCTCTCTCTCTCTCTCTCTCTCTCTCTCTCTATATATATATATATATATATATATATATATATATATATATATATATATATATATATATATATGTTTGTGTGTGTGTGTGTCCAGTTCAATGTATAAATGGCCCATGATGAGAAGTTTTGACAGATAATGATGTGAGGCGTTTCGATTAAGCTGAAGGTTCGTCAACTGCAAAAATACTATAATTTCATGTTTTGAGCATTATGATGCTGTAAAGGGTCTTAAGTTAAATATGTACTTATTCATTATGAAATAAACCTTGCAAACACCGATCTATCAATGACAATATTTTAGGAGGACAATATTATATCCGATGACTATTTTAATTTTAGCACAAGTCAATTGCAATTGCTAGTCATTACAACTCCATGCTTGCTTAACTTTATAACCCATATCCCAATACATTTCCCACCACGCAGACTGGCACTTCTCTAAATGTAAAGAATGAACCAGTAAGTCTTTATTAATAAACCTCGTACATTTGAAATATACAATAAATGACATTCTCTGAAAAGTATATAAAATATTATCTTAATAATTTTGACCGAATTTAATATCCTGTGATTATACACAGTTGAATTCTATACTACATCAGTAGTCACACACACACACACACACACACACACACACACACACACACACACACACACACACTAGTGCATAATAACTCATTTAAAGAGAAACGGAGAAATTGGGGCTCATAAAGGGGACTGTGGCGAATAGTGGATGGAGATAGTGCCGGAGAGTGGTAAACAAGAAGAACATAAAACGTCCTTGCCATTAAAGGTGTGGGTTGCTCATCTTGTGCAGAAAACCTCAGATACAGGGCAGAAGTGTTTCCTGTCTGAAGATTACAAAATACGTTTATTGTTGTTCATCACATGCCCGAATCATAACAATCGATCTCTTTTTGTTTTTGTCGAATAAATAAAGGTCAAGTAAAACATAAAGAAATGTTAACTATTACCCGTGGTAAGCGTAATAAAGTCTTGCCTTGTTTTTATAAATAAAACAAATCAATAAATATCTTTCTCTCAAAATACAAAAATACAGCTAATATCAGTGTGTGTAGTATTTGTGTGTGTGTGCGCGTGTTTGTGTGTGTGTGTGTGTGTGTGTGTGAGAGAGTTTTCAATTTTTAACAATTTGCCAGCCATATCGCTATGATGTCTGCAGTGTGGCAGTTTATATTGATGTCTTGCCCTGGGGCATCATGCCGCAGACATGTAGTATCATGTCCCACCCAGTCCCATCCAGTCACATTATCGTGACACCAAGCCGACCAACTCCATCATTACCTTCTTAATGCTGACCGACTAACAAGACAACTGCTAATACTATTTTTATAAGTCTGTTGGACTCGGTCGGGATTTGAACCCGTGACCTCCCGCATTCAAAGCGGTCGCTCTAACCACTAGTCACCAGATC